CTGACCACTCTTCTACTGGTATACTGCGCCTGTACCACGTCACTCATTCTCGCAGCTGTGGCATTCGCTCTCACCTCACCCGACGGTGTTTTCCATCACAAGGCACAATCCAGTCCTTTTCAAATTGAGGCAGTCTTTGGTCGGAGTTGGGCTCACATGTCGCTTGATCCCAAGTACGACAGCCTCTGGGAAGACGTTGAAGGAGATTCCGGCTCCATCATATTCAACCTCACGGATCCCGCCCAAAGGAACACGGGTATGAGCGCCACCATCGCCATGTAAGTACACCCTTCCCTTCGATAAAGAACGCACTACAACACGATGCTGACCGATTACTCATGCAGGTTTCACCAACTCCATTGCCTCTCCATATTTCGAAACGTCCTGCAAGAGGCCCATCGAGGGGTCGACCCGGGACTAGACTGGAACGACCACGATCACTGGCCGCATTGCCTTGACTATATGCGCAAGGTACCCAATGCCTTAACACTGAATCCCCATGTAGCTTTTCTGAGCTAACATGCTTCATGTAGAGCATTCTTTGCGCAGCGGATGGTACGATAGAGCAGCAGCCGATTCTGCCCAACGGTACAATCGCGCCTTTCATTGATGGCTCTCAGGATGTTCGGCATTGTGGTGATAACAGGCGCCTGATAAAGCAAATGAAGACGTACGGCAAGACTGTTATAACTAAACCGTTCCCGTAGATACAGCCGGAGTCAAATTTTCATCTCATCCCATTCCCAGGTATGGGAGCCAAGAACACAACCTGCACCCTACCTAGACCATGCGAGATAATTCGAGAACACATCTCCCCTCCTTGTGATCATTGAGAGCATCTACATGACAGACACGCTGGAGCGAAAGCACTCTTACGTCATGACAAACCATGACTCTATGCCAGTGCAGACTCTTGACGAAGATTTGTGCATGACTCTATCATGATTTCGTGAGTTTGAATGTTCCAAGACAGGGCATGGAAGGTATTATGAAATTTGGGCCGGGATTACAAGGTTCCACTGAGAAGAGCTGACTGTGTTCGACAGCGATTCGGCCGAGGACGCAGCTGCCATTACTTGTTCACTTGGTCTCCTTCGTCGCCATGGAATGCTAGCTATTTGGGATGACAGACTATCAATCCCTTTCAACGGCATGGAGACAAAGACCAGCATACAACTTTTTATGTGTTCCACCGCATCGTATGCGTTTGGTGAGTAATCGTACGGGGAAGTACACTGCAGCAAGGACGTGGGTTTAGAGGGAGGACGGGTCCACTTTTATGTTCGATATGCAGTGGGCAGTAAGGTAGAAGAGGCCAGCAGCTGCGCGGAGTCCCTGACTAATGCTGAAGGTATTCATGCAATCCGTCTCCTTGCCATCTGGCACAACAGCATCACCCCTGACCACCGACGATGGCTGAAGCCCTAGGCATTGCCTCGGCGCTAATAGCCATAGTCACGGCGACGATACAGACAAGCCAAGCTCTGTACAATACAATTCAAAGCTTTCGAAGTCACCAGCGATCGGTTCAGCAACTCTTGGACGAACTCTCGGCCCTGAAAGAGGTTCTCCGGTCCTTGGACACGCACATCCAGATCGAGGATGACGCGAACTTAGCGTCGCTCAAGACGCCTCTCCTCCAATGTCGTCGAGCTTGTGCTGATTTCGATACGCTGATGATTGAGTGCACCAAGTATTCCGGCCGGCCGAGAACTAGCTTCCGAGGCTGGGTAAAAGTAAGATATATGGAGAGCGATATACACGGCTTCACCAGTATGCTAGCGGGCTATAAATCAACCATAGCTATCGCCCTAGGTGATGCGAATCTGTCAGTCGCTCGTCGAGATATCTCGTGTATTGTGCGTGCTAATGATACGAGGCAGTCGCTCTGCTACGGTCACCATTCAGCTGCTTGGGGAGTACAAAGACATGATTCACAGCACGACACAAGACCTAGAGGATCACCTCGACGATATCAACGAGAAATTGAGCCGTCTTGCTTCCAGCAATGTACCTTCATCCCAGGCAGTAATCACCGACATAGATCGGATCCAGAACGAGAGGGACAGCACAGAGGTCTGCCTTCAGATCTGTGCCAAAGTCCAAGCTCACATCGACACCATGCGCCTTCAACCGATTCCAGGCAGTCCGCCATCTCAAGGAATGTCCTGCCGGGACCTGGGGCATGCGACTGTCATGACTCTATCGACTTTGGACCACTGCAAACAGATGATAGCTGACAACGTGTCGGAGCTGCACCGGCACCAAGATGAGAACAAGAGACGACTGGCACGAGGAACCAGCGAGATTTCTCTGCCCACAGAAACCGACATTCAAAGCTTGAAGAAAGAGCTCGACAGCACTAAAGAATGTTTGGCCATATGCAACGCCGCATCACAAAGAGCAGTCAAGGGGGTCCATGTATTGGAGGACATGAGCACAGGCCATGATGGACAGCAGCTGTTTGTCTCTACTCTGGGGGATCTCTTCAACGTGAAAGGAGCGAGCACAGGCGACAGAGGCATACAATTTGTCGGATCGGTATCAGAAGAGGCACTGCGGATTTTCTTCCAGAGCCAAACGAAAAAATAGAGTTATCAAGGTTCATTAAACACGCCAACTCCCTTCTATGTTGTCGTCGTAGATGGGCCAGAATCTTGTGTAAAGGAGGCCGTCGTCCGTCCTGTCCCTCGAAAAGTCGTTGCAGGAGGGGTATTGTGTGGCCGGTCCGTATGTGTTCGATGCGAAACTACCATTTTTCCAAGTTCCTGGACAGACCCCTCGCCCCAAGCCCCAACGCATTGGAACGAGCTGTCGCCGCCTTCAACGTTCTTGGCATCATACAAGTGATTCTTTGTAGACACCAGGAGCTGTACACCATTGGCTCCAACCTTCAAGTGCTCGAGCTTATGTGTTGGGAGAGGGTTGTTGTCGCGCATGGATTCGCGAGAGTGATCGTCATCGTTTGCCATGTCGACGGCAGGGTCATCGCTGGTGGAAGGAGCAACGGTTTCGTTCATTGGAGCGTTGAAATGCTGATCGGAGAGTATAGATGACAGATTGCCTTCCTCGATTGCTACATGTCCTCTGTCTCCTGCGAATAGTCTTGGGACAAGAACAGTTCAAAGTGGCTGTTGTCCGACGGATGCTATGAGTGTGGACGAAATTACCCCGCACGGAGTCAGCCTGCGCGATGTCTGCCTATCCACCCCGCGCTTGATGCTCGGATGATGGGCAGCGGTATCCACTTCTGGTCGTTACTATGGTATGGTCGGCATGCTGTTTATTCTTGGAGGACGGGTACTGGCAGTGTGGTGGTTTCATCGAGACAACTGTATATTTCGGCTGAGCTGCATCCTTCGGTGCTAAATTCCAAGCCAATCCGGATGTGAGGCAATCTGCAGACCCGATTCAGTTCGACAGCTGTTGTATATACGGCCCCATAGAAACCTATGGAAAGTGCAACCGTCGTGATGTCGGCCATCTAACAGTAGTCAAATGCGACGTTTCTCGACTACTATGGCGTCAACATTAATCTTAAAACATCACTCATTCAACTGCCTATTGCTGCGCCCCCCCCCCCCCTCCTAATAACCTTCACCCCTCCTGTGTCCGTTTTTAACTTCAGCTCATTCCCATCTTATCTTCACACTATATTCTCACGAATATCCTAAGTAGTCTAATTCCCTAGACCAAGCCGACCCTTATAAACAACTCAGGTGCTAATACGCGTTTCCATGGAGCGGTCTGCCAACCGTCGTTCGCCTAGCCGCACCAATTGAACCGTTCTTCCTCCTTTCAGACGGGAGCGAAGAGAATTTACAAGCATAGCGCACCTTTTTACAGCCATTGGTATTAAAGCCCTCCCAAAAACATCGCCGAGTGCAAGATGGCATGGCATTAATAGGATATTGAGCTTCGCAAGACTTGCCAACCACTGAAGTAGCAAATACGTAAAATAGGTGCGAACATTATCGAACCCATAGAACTTGCGTGTAGAGGTGAGAGACAAAGCTCAATCAAGACCTTCTTTCCCGAGATAATTCCCTTGTCGGACGTAGAGGGAAATGAGGAGACGCATGCAGCTCTCCAGTCTCTGCTCTAACAGCTGACCGCGTGTCGAGAAGCGTAGGTAGATAATGAATAGAGATAGCCGATATGCCCTTCAAAGGAATATTTAAAACATACTATCACATCCAGTCTAGGCAAGAGCCGAGCCAGTCGAGGGTTCTCTTCTGGCTACTATCATTATAAACGTAAGTAAGCATTCATCACGCTAATATTTTCAGCATACCCACTACACCTTAAACCTTCAATCATATCCTCGGTCCCAAATGCGTTTTTAGGCGGTTTTCCTTGCTCAGCGATAACCCGTTCGCAGATAGACTTAGGCTTATCAAAATACTGCTCAGTCAATCCTCTGTAGCCGTCTTACTTAAGTTTCTCCCGCTCGGGGCCTTTCTTCTCTGAAAGCTTATGAAACAAGGCATATAATATCAGAAATCTCGGCATACTTTAATACCGTGGAAGCTTCGTATCAAAATTGTAAAGCAACTTACAAAACAATTTTTATGGGCATGCTACTTAACTAAAAATGGCTATGTCAGGTTAGTTAGGTCACAGTCTTGCGATATGGGTTCATTCATTATTACACTGCCCCAACTTCCAAGAGAAGCTCTTCAACGGTCAGATCTAGACTACTGATTTGGGACAATCTCGAACAGCACTATTATTGCTGCCAGTGACTTCTCGCTTAATTGTCGTTATGATTTTCTGAGCTCGTTCAACGTATGATTGGCGCTTGTCGAATTCTAGCGGGTTTCACTGACAGTTTGTACAATTCTAACTAATGCAATTCTGGCATCAGTAACTACGTAGCGTTGCACTTTCCGGCTCTTCAGGCGACTGTCCAGATCCTTACGAATATATGCATTCGGAGTCTAAAGTGAGATAAGACTGCGAAATGCGATCTCAGTCTCCTCCATCTTGAGTTTACGCGATCACACTTCCTCATCGGAACCTTTGTTGCACGTGCAATTTTTGCAGTGGTGGCGATCCTTCATCCTCTTAGGCCACGCCTTCTTAAGATGATCCTCAATCTTTTTCCTACAGTCGGAAATCTCGACCGAAAAGATGATCCAGATCAACAAGAGCCCAGTCACTGGAAGGGAAACGCCCCAGTAGACCCAAAAGAGTCTTTCTCCTGCAGCGAAATCCCCTCCCATCGAAAATATTGCCGAGACTATAGAGAACGGGACAGCAACCGTGGCCAGCTTGGTCAGCTGCCCCGCGCTTCGAGCTTGTCGGTTATTTGCGAACAAACGTTGCATGTTGGCCCGCTTGGCAAAGTTGTCCATGAATGTCCCAAACGTCCCCTCAACCTCGAGCAGCATACCGTCGAGTTTGTTCCAACGCCTTTGTTCCATTGCGACTTGTCTCTGAGCGGAATCCATGCCTTGCTGTTGTTCCACTGCGACACCTTGGGTGGACTCCATGCCTTGCTGTTGTTCCACTGCGACACCTTGGGTGGACTCCATGCCTTGCTGTTGTTCCACTGCAACACCTTGGGTGGAATCCATGACTGAGCCAAATGTCAAAGCGGTAATGCCAAAATCTGCTCCCCATTGGTCGACGTCGGGGGCAATGAAGGAATCTTTGACGTCTTTGATGAGACGCCTTTTTTCGCGGATGTCTCGCCCTAGGTTGACAATACGCTGGTAACCGTCCATATCAGAGCTACTTTCTAGCCGTTTCGCAGCTGCAGCGCCGCTGAAGTCCCTCCATTGAGCTTCGTCTTCCAAGAGCTCGTCGAGAAGTGTTGACTGGAATACGCAGACAAAGTCTTCCCAAAGTGAAAAGACCAAATTTCGAACGGGCACAGTCGCGACAAACGGATCTCGCAGGTCGGAAATGATATCGACGTTTTCATCGTATGCCCGACGAAGATCATTGTATAACGCAGAGGCATATGGAGCGTCGAGTGGTGCATGGTTGCCGCCGACGATGACCTCTTTGGTGATTCGCCTTCGCGTGTATTCATCATTCGACAGACTGATACAGTCTGTCTTCTGTTCTCCCTTCAGCTTTCGAAGGCTTGTTTGCCGGGGATCCACGAGGATGACAACTCCAAAAGAGTATTATTAGATGCGCTTCAGGAACTAGTCAGGGGGTCTGGTAACTCACGTGTCCAACCATTCTCACCATGCGTCATGCCCCAGAAAGAAACGATACCGTAGAATTCGATATATCCCAGGGCCTTCTTTTTAGGGAGGACTACACTAAACCGGTCGAAAGCCCCTACTTCGATCCTACATTCGGTGTCTTCCTGCTCTACCGTCGAAGGCGCTTTTCGAACCTGTGGAACGAGAACTCTCCAATACTTGGATCGCCCTTGTCTATTTCGGAACCCATCGACTGGATTAAATCGACATGTTTGATCGCAATGCGCAAGCCAAAACTCTGGCGGTATGTCGAGCTTGACTCCAAGCATCTCCGCCATCCGCGGGTCCACATCTTCCAGAATGATGAGCCTCCTGAAAGGCTCAGTAGCATCAGACGCCTCCTCATCGAAATGTGTAAACAATTCCCTGGCGCTCAGGTCCTCGTGTACCACATCACATGGATCAGGATGTGATCCAAAGTGCCTGACATAGTACGTGGGCACATTTTGCCGAGGAGACGTGGAGATCCATGGATGACTGAGACCTGACTTCACAAAGCCCTCGTCAACGGCTTTCTCAACGCGAGTCTGATATTCGGCTGTCAACCAAATCATTTCACGATTCTCACCCCAGAACTCCTCGCGGCCTGTGTCCAGTTAATGCCCTGAACGAAAAAAGGAGTGGCAGACTGACTCATTGGCACGAAGTTGATAGACATAATGTCAAGCTTGGAGGACGAGAGTTGCAAATGACTTTCCCGACTTCACTCACGCTCACGGCAGCGGTTGGTCCTGGGACGGACTTTATATCGTGGCGCAAACTATGGCATTTGATGCCTATCTTGCTGGTGACTAGCGTCAGCCTCGGCGGATTTACGACGTCCTTTCTTTTCTTCACGATCGTTTCTCGCAATATCCCAAACAGGATACCAACAACCTGAAAGCTGCATAATTGTGGGCCGACTAGCGGTTCAAAATGATACACGATTTCTGAGCTGAAAGAACCCCCTGCTCTAGTAATTGTCAGCGAGCCTCAAAGTCCACGTCCTCGTCACTCTCGCGTTTAGATAATTTGACCACGCAGTATGCAACTGGAACATTAGTGGAGTTTTGGCGACAAACATGTCTTTGAACTTGACCCCACCACGAGCGGTATCCGTTCTGCAAGACTTGGCCTGGCCAATTAGACTCTTGCGTTGCCGTTCAGCTGGCGGCGATCATGCCCCCGTTCCCTGTAGCCTGGCGGACCTTACGACACCTAGGGGCATGTGGTAAGCAGCACTTGCACAAAAGGTCCTGGCCTCTCGCTGAATATCAAGAGGATCCCTCACTGTCAGTTCATATTCCAACCTTTGGAAATGGACTCTGCACGAAATCGTTGGTGCATGGTCGATCCATGAAGTGCGTGGTCGGAACAACAGAAGGGTTAGCAACCTCCAAACATGCTGTCCTCGCGTATGCGCATCTCGGGCAGTCAATGGTCCACACAACTCTCAAACCCTTACCAATCGACCCTACCAGTGCCCGCCTCACTTCGGACAGCAATTCCGCAATCGCGGCGCGTCCTTCATGCCAATTGGACAAAGGGTACCGTATACCCTGAAGTGAAGCAAAACACCAAGCCAAAAGCCGATATGAATTGTCAGAAACCACCTTAGCTGCAAGTCTCATCACCTCCAGCTGAGACTGCAGGTATCCCAAATGAGCCAAACCCCATCAACACTATCAAGAAGGGGGGGGGGGGGGGGACAAAAGAAACCATGGCAGCAGCGACCCGCACCCACCTGATCTTCCGGCACAACGCGTGAACGCCAAGATCCACACCCTCGGGACAACTGTAACCGAATCCATAGTACAGATCCTCTTTCTTAGCCACCGAAAGTGAGACTGATAAGAGACTGTTAGAGTACTAGGCAGAAAGGTCGACTTAGGGGGCGGTCCGGGCCCATGCAAACGAAGTCTTCTCCTCTCGTCACATACGGCCCGTCTACGTCTGGCAGTATAGTGCGGGCCGAGGGAGAAACATTTCACTGCCCCATACATCACAGACTTACACCCAACGGAGGAATCGTGGGCTCTTCCCACCAACTTTATCCTCCAGGTTCCACATACCACTACGCAGTTCAACATGCGATCATTGAGCTTCGTGCCAGCCGAAAAGCCTTGCTCTACCGGTGTGTATACCAACACATACCTTCCAAGTTGAGGTTAAGTATGCGCAGCCAGTCAGTAGAGGCGAAACGGTGTACGTACTATAGATAATCATCCAACTGAGGTCAGAGTCCGAGGGCTCACAAGTCCACGGATGCGGCTCGACCCATGACCGACCACGACTCCCTTGATCACACCCAGTGGAAAGGGGAAATGGGGAAGTAGCAGTGGCAGGTACAGAGGCAAAAAAACGAGTCAGAGGATGCAGGTTGCAAAGTCTATCCTGACTCCGACTAGGAGCCAAAGTTAAGGTACCGAAGGAGAGTAAAAGTTTGGGTGTCACGGATGGGATGATTGTACATGTAACTTCGAAAGAGATCCCGCTTGCCAAGACAGAGACATAGATGCCTTCAGACTGGTGAATTTGGTACTGTCTGAAGAGGGAGCAGACGACTGTTCGTTCTAGATTTTCTGTGTTGCCTAGCTGAGATCATCACCTTCATATGGGTGGGCGGTGCCAGCGTTTCTATGGGCAATGTGTGAGTTTAGATACACATCTTCCAGAGATTGATCTGGTTTAATTTCTTGACCTCTGCTGGTCTGGTGGAATCTCGTAGCAGACAAATTTCGACCGAAAGGCTGCTCTGTTGATCAATACCACCAAGCTCATTATCAACTAGCCACTATGCGACGTAGCTAGTCTTGCCACCAAGCTGGGACTCTCTTACACGCCGGCGCAAAGCTTCACTTTCCATACTAAGCAGACAATTTCATCCTCCATTAATACGTCTCGAAGAAAGTCAGAATGTGTTTGATAGCCTGTCTTCTCTCATTGCGCCGAACTCTGTCGAGTCTCGACCCCAAGGCTTGCGAACAGGTTTCAAAAGCTTCAGTGGAAATGTCAGGCAGAAAAGCGTGCCACGGGGTCGAAACCCGCAAACCAGGTACCGCCATTTCTATTCCCAGCACAAACATCAAGTGATGTCCGCCATCCGACCAATGCGGGCAAAACTATCTGCCCGCATGCCAATCGACGTCCAAAGTTGGGTGTGAACCCCGACGAACGTAAAATAATTCTCCGAGGAAGTAAAAGCCAAAAAAAAAAAATAAAACGTAAAAGGATCTACAAAACCGGTCGAACGCGCGTCTCCCATGTTCTAATCATCTCACACAGGCCATTAAAGGGCTTGATAGACCCCGGTTTGGGGTTCAGAAAGTGTAGAATACAGCTTGCTGAAGATGGTTGCTCTTTCGCGTCTTCCAGCATTCCCGCTGCCCGTTTGGCCGTCCGCCCTGGTGCTTCGGCCAACCATCCTGACCACTTGGTGCATTGGTTCCTGAGCATCCAAGTCAGGCGCGCGCGGATCAGAGATGCGACGCTCCACTAGCTGAAATCGTGAGCATGGTAGGATCTTGTCGCAAGCAATCACTGAGAGGATTCTTATTCTTGGAACATCCCATAAGTCCTACTCGTTCGCCTCAACCCCCGGAAACCCCAAGATAAGTTTGCTGTCAAGCATTGACGACACATCTAACTTCAGTATCTGGTATGAGACAGAGCTCGGGGTCCAGTCACAAACTCAGAAACTGGTCTCAAGTTTAACCAGTTTATCGGGTAATGTTTCCCCAAGCGACCTGTTGCTAGTCAGTCTCCCGGACTTGAGTCAGCTCCACACAGACTCGGCAGGTACCCGAAATACCTTCGTCAGAATGTGAATCTTGAGACAAACAACACCAAAGACAAGTTAAGCAAAAGTTCAACCTCCTGCGATGGAAATCGCGTCAAAAATATGGACGATCTGGGAATCGAACCCAGGACCTACCGCATGCTAAGCGGTCATTATACCACTAAACCAATCGCCCATGGTATGATCTAGCCCGGACTTGAACCGGAGACCTTCAGTGAACAGCCGAAGCTCTACAGGACTCTCGAGATGTTAGACTGACGTGATAACCAACTACACCACCAGACCAAGTGATTGATGATAAGATCGGCGAGCAAGCGCAACATTAGGGCAGGGTTGTCGACAGGAATCTCCAGGAAGCTAGGCGGAACCCGGCAGGACGGATGCGAGTGAGTGGGTCCAGGGTCTCCGGGCGGGCTGGTCTACCGAAATTCCAGACGACAAGGTAGTTGGGACCCATGATCAATGACCTGCGTATCCATGGGCGCCATTGCGCGGAGTAGGTCCGTTGTGATATTGCAAGAAAACATGAAGCTTTAGGGCAAGTTGACGAATTCATGCGTTGTATGCGATGTGCTGACTCGTTATGATGGCTAGGCCCCAGAAGCCAGCCAGCCAGCCAGAGTCCTGGTGCTAGATGAAGTGTGTTCTACTCGTGTGACACAATTGTGTGAGCTTGATCCGAGACATGAAGAGACTGCCATTGTGGATTGTTAGTACTGTTGGAGGGGTCCAGTGAAGAGACAAGTTGTGGGGTGGAGACAGCCAGCCCCAGTCCACACTTGCAATATATAGCTCAATACCACAGCTCAGTCCGAAGATCGTGGCGGACATAGCTCAGTTGGGAGAGCGTCAGACTGAAGCGGATCTGATCCGGAAAACTTCAATCAATCAATCTGAAGGTCGTGTGTTCAATCCACACTGGCCGCATCTTCGCTTTTTGCTGTCGCGCGTAACTGGGGCGTTTGCTGTGATGGTGAATTTCGCTGAACACGAAGGCGATGCTGTCTGTCCTTTTGCCTATTTCGGTTCCGCGTATGTGGTAAGAAGAGTCAAAAAGCATTAGGCTCTTTACGGCTCTGTGAGAAGGGCCAAATAGCGTATAGCTAGCCGGCCAGTGAGCAACGTCATACGAACGAGGTAGATGATGGTTGGTGGTCAGTGAGATGGTGTGTACATTGTCTTCGGGAGTTGACACCGAAGTCTGGCTATTCATAGGACTGGCTGAAGGAATGATTGCTTCTGGGCCCGAAAAGCGCTCTACATTAAGACCAGATCGTGATCGTAAATGCCCGCCCTCTGTTCGTCTATCCACTAGTTACCGTCGTTCGATCTCGTGGCCTAGTATTCGATACAAGGTGCGTCATAAAGAATCAAATGCTCCTAGGTCATAGCCAGCGCAGGCTCGTCCGGTCGAGTCGCTCGACAATTGGGATCGGGTTCAGATGGGTGGAAGTTCAGTCGTTCGGTTGGATTTCCACTTGTGGAAAGGCTCATCGCTTGCCGCGTATGCCAGACAAAATGGGCGTCCCCAACCGGTCCGGTCAGTGCGAAGATTGGAGCGCGTAACAAACATCAGCCGAATTTCGCGCGTGGTAACGCCGGAACTGGACAACAATGCCCATCAGCGGCGGCTTTGGACCATCTGACGAGGCTGTTAAGCGGATCGATAGTGCCCGGACCGCATTGTTCTCAGGTTTGCGAGATGTGTTTCTAGTCGCCACCATCGTGAGCAATGGAAAAACACGATGCTGAGCACACGCAGTCCTCCTCGGTGCCGTCGGCTCCATCTCCGCATTTTCCAAATGCTTCGCATTATACCCGACTTTCGAGGTGTGCTGGCCGGCTGCCGTCTTGGCAGAGAAACGCCGTTCAGGCGAATCCAAGGAAACTTCTGTCATGGGTGGTGGATAGAGGACGGGTTTCTGTAGAGCTAGCTACCATGCCGTCTCGAATACCAAACATGGAGCCAGCGCATCGACGTACCCGAGGCGGGGCAGGAAATCCCATGGGCAGGAAGACGAGAGCCACGCCGACTGGGTATAGGCTGAGAGAAAATCGTGTTCTCCCAGGGCTGACCGTGGCTCAAGGGCGAGTTAGTTGTAAGTTTATCGTCTTCTTCCTTGCCTGTTATACGTGGCTGCGTGTCAGACGCGCTCAGAGTTGCGGGAAGGCACGTCGTTGGTGTGGTAGCTTTCCCATGCAGATCCCCCTCTCGATTCCTTCGTCCTGCTAGTCCCAGAGTTAGAGGGGCCACACATCGCACGCGCGGCCACCAGCAGGCCTCGCCTGCTCCCCAAGTCCGGTAGCAGATTTGCAGGCGATCTTTGTGCACTGCCTTCCCGGCGGCAGTGAACGGCCGCTACTGGGCATGCATGGATGGAACCGGCCGGAGACGATGACAGGCAGGCAAACAGCTAAGCATTGCGGGCTGTCGGTAAATCTTGCCCTAGCTGAGGATGAACCCTGTGCCTATTCTTGGACATCATTCTTGGCAGGCCATGCGTTTCTTCATGGCGGCGCAAACATTGTGTGTGCTGACAATGAGCATTGACTTTGGTCTGGTTGTCGGATGCAGAAAGAGGCCGTGATGATATCAGTTGCACGGAGAAAACAGCGAGCAGGTTTGATGCATTGCAGGGAATGGAAATGGGGTGTGTGTCGAAAAATGACGAATGCCCCAGACGGAGATGGCGACGCCCATGACCATGGCGTCCTCAAGAGACACCCAGCGGCAGGATCCGAGACAAGGCTGTTGTGTTGGTGGTGGGATGCCTGGGTGCCGTCACAACGGTTGTTTGGTGGTGTCGAAGGCGGCTCAAATGGGTTCGTAAACGTCCTATAAGGCATATAGTATCTTCAGTAAGAGCAAAGTTGGTGAAGGAGGGCCTGTCTGGCTCTTGACGCGGGCGGCTTTAGAGTTTAGGCTTGGCTCGTAGGAGATCTATAGGTTGATTGCGATATCGAATCTCGGATTTGCCAGACACGTTGCATTGGGGTGAGGGGGGGCGCGGGATCAGGGAGATCCAAGAGTGAGGGAAAGGGGACGACGCAGCAGCGAAGAAGCTTACTGCAAAGCTAAAGATACGGCGCTTCGAGAAGGAGAGGGCGACAGGGCCTGACTCTGGTCGTTTGGCTGCTGTGGTCGTCGTGTCTGGGTGGGTTGAAGTCAGAAGTTGGTCGGAGATGGGATGAATGTGGAGGAGTTGCGCAACACTAACAATTTCTGGCGCGTCTCGGCCAGTAAGCGAGCCGAGAGGAACCCCTGCATCCGTGCCAGAGTAGGCAAGTACTTGATGGGTGTTTCTGCAAGTATTCCGTCCGTGCAGGATTATATGCAAGATACTTGGTGATACTCTTAGAAATGGTGAATAAAGTAGAGTAGGAGGTGTCCCCTGCTAAAGGGGAAGGATTACCTAAGACGCTTGTCTCACTCTATTTTTCAGTCTTCAGGGCAGGCGCGGAGCAATCGAGATTCAAGCTTCCATTGATTGATTGTACTTGCCTGATTGTACAGTAGTAGGTCGTCACTTAAGGTACATAGTGAACACGGATCAAGGTAAGGTACTTAGGTATAACCAACGCTTTGGCATGTGCCGGTCGCATCCTCTCTTCCACATCAAGTTCATCAAGTTCTTGAACCAGTGTCACCGCTAGATTCCCGGATTGCCCATCCCGGGTACTAGATCAAGTGATCTATCCAACGCAGGGACGCCAGCACGACAGACGACTATGGAAATCCAAACATCCGTCACTCGGGCAGGCTCCAATACAGGCTCCAGCCCATCAGCGGCAAATGTTTGGGGCTCTTCTTTGAGGCACGGGTGTGGCAGCAAGCTAAAATCCGGAGGTGGCAGCTCCCGAACGACTCCTGTTGACCATCCATGTTTCAGATGCGCCTGGCAAGTCCGCGAAACCGCCCTCGAGTCCTCGACGCCCAAGGAAGCAGAAGTCGATCACGTCCCAGTCGGTCCAAACTCCCAAACCCTCCGAATTTCACTCGTGCCCGGCCCAGGCGCCAGGTCAAGCTTACCCGTCCTCGACTTTGAAATCTCCCTTTCTGGCCTTGACTGGGTCTCCAGCCAGACTCGAGGTCGGGGTTGGCTTGTCACCTTGTGTTGTGTCTTGCCCTGGTGCCGGGAGGCAAGCAGGAAGCCCTGCTTTGCCTGTGTTGCATCTCGTCTGTGTTTCTGGTGTGTGCACCTGCGCCTGTGCCTGCGCGCGCGCGCCGCTACGATGCGTGGCTAGCATCGTTTTCCGATTTCACTCCTCTCTTTTTCTTTCCATTTGTTTTCTTTTCCTTCTTTTCGCTCTTATTTACACTCACTACTTCCTCCAACCCGTTTTCGTGCCCTGTTTCCTGCTCTGTTTCCTCTCTGGACTTTTGGGGCTTTGTAGGAGAAACATTCGAGAGTCGACAAAGCAACTACACGCTGGACGACGGTTGAACGACAGGGAAGCAGACGGGACGCGGTCACAGCAACTCGGCTTTGGGTCAACATTCATCACTAGGAGCGCTCGTCACTTGTTCTTGTTAATTCCGAATACTCGAGCCATCATTGGATCATCGACATCGCACCAGGTCCGGCTGGCAATCTATTCATCTAATGGCCAATGTCTTGAAGACATACCCAAGTCGTCACACTTCCCTCTCCACCTCAGGAAGTCTCTTCACACAGACGACTCTTACTTGTTCATAATACCGACTCGATTTGATTTCGGGGCTTCGCGTTGTCCTGTCGTTGGCGCTGGATCGATACCCTTTAGACTTGTTTTGAGGAACAGTCCTCCATCTACTTTCTTTTCGAGCCACATACGACGCCCACGAGCGCTGATATAACACACCTCATGAACCAGACAGCGACCATGTCGTCCATGCCAATGGAACTCAACCTGCCCCGGGTGGTGCCCGGTGGCCAGCACATCAGTTATTACGTTGCCATCAGCGCGATGCTAGTGGTAGCCTGGCTCTTCCAGTCGCGAAGGCCAAAATTTCCCGACATGCCCTTCTACAAGGCCGCCAAGACGAAGTGGATGTTTGACGCCGAGACGTTGATTCGCGACAGCTATGGCAAGGTATGATGCGGAAGAAGTCCATATCGTTCAATTGCTGACACCAATTCAGTTCCGCGACACTGTATATCAGATTAAAGCGACAGAAGGTCTGCAGGTTCTTGTACCTGCAAGACTCATTGGCGAGTTGAGAAGCTTGCCAGAAGAGGTGTTGAGCGCCACAGAGGCCGTCGACGAGGCCATGTTGAGCAGATATACCAACTTCACCCTCGGCAACCACGCCGACCTACTGTCTACACTTGTGCGGTGCAAGCTGTCACAGAACTTGGCCAGGCTTGTGCCCCAGCTCAAGAGTGAGCTCGAGTACGTTGTCGCCACTGAGTTTCCGAATTGCAAGGGTAAGTCCGTCAGTCAGATTTTCTGCCTCGCCCAACTGACACGTCCCAGAATGGACACCAGTAAAGTTCCAACCCTTCGCGCTACGAGCCATTGCACGGATTAGTGGTCGGGCATTCGTAGGCCCCGATGTCAACCGACAAGAGCAGTGGATGGATATCAGCATCAACTTTGCCATCCACGTCTTCGTCGCTGTCGTGAAGATGCAGCTCTTCCCGGAGTGGGCCCGACCGATTGCGCAGTATGGAGTTTCGGAGTTGCGGCAGATTCGCAAAGACGTTGACAAGGCTACCGCCATGCTGAAGCCCATCATCGATGAAAGATTAAGGGACCTGGAGATGCCTAGCTTTGAAAAGTCTCCCGACGACTTGATTCAGTGGCTTGTCGAAGCCCTCCCAGAGGATGAGAAGAGAGACGTCAGGTCC